CCTAAAGGACAACTTTAACCTGACAGAGATGGTATTACTACTTATTTGTATAACTCTAGCGCCCAAGAACCTGTTGGTGAGCCCATGACAGCACTGTGCCGTACAGAGTAGAAACACAGAACAGCCTGAGGGGGGATTAGGCACTAATAAAAGTGTGCCTAGATCATCAGTTTGATCGTTATTTCTTTGCATCAGTAGATACTATTTTGTTTGTACAGACTTTTTACTTCTTTACCCTGTTTGGGTCTCTGGGATTTTCAATTTTAAACGCATACTTAGAGGTGTAGATTTCTGCTGTTTCCTTTTTCCATTGCAGATTACAGTCACATGCTAGGACAGACACCTGCTGCGAAAGGAGTAAGATGAAGTTTTGTCTATGTACTTCACAACACCTAAGGCAGACCTTGCTCAATGTGACCCAGAAATCTTGTCCCAGGAGCAGATGATACGGTGCTAAAGCCTGACTGGCTCTGATCCTTGCTGTTTGCTAGGTCATTATATTAAGTTCTCCCTCCAGGAGGTTTGTTACAGAACTGAACAAGTGACATTTCTTCTGCCTGCTTGTACATTTTGGCTGCTACTGCCCCACCATGAATCTGCACAGACTGCCAACCTTTTCCTTTTGTGTCCTTTCAGGATTGTTTCCAGGTTTTCAAACTCAGTAAAAGGAAAAACTGAAAACGAAGCCAAGGAGCTGAGTAGAAGTGTCAGGGAGATGGGATGGAGGCACTGCGCAGAGGGGGAAGGGACTGGGAGGTCCGCCTACTCTTTGGAGGCATTAATGTGTTTAGTGAAATTTCTCGCAACTAATAACTTTCTATAATATGTCGCAGTGGAAAAATGATCCTTTTGAAGAGGAGCTTAAACGATTCTGCCAAAAACTTTACAACAAGTCTTCAAGTTTCCAAAACATGATGGAAAGTATTCTTCGGGGTTCAAGTTCAATTGCAAGCCCTTCCCAGGACTGGAACCAGAAGTAGAGAAAGATGGAACTGTTCCAACAGAGGCTGCTGGGATCGGGAGAAGCAAGGAAAGAGAGCACAGCAAACAGCTCGCACTTCGCACACAGCATTATCCGCAGAGTGGATGTGAACCTTTGCTGGGCACAGCTACTATGGCCCAGGTGCAGCTCAAGGCCTGGCTGATCCTGTATGCATTTGCTGGATTCCAGAGACTGACAGGTAGGAAGGGCATCTGTTAGTGATGTGGCTTCTTGGTTTGGCAAACGCTTGTGCAATTCCAGCGGTGCTACATTTTGTCTGCTTCTTCAAATACAGCCAAACGCATCAGTAAGCTGTGCTGACATAGGCAGCTCTGGGTTTGAGAGCATATTAACTGGAGTCCCAGCTGGGTTCTGTTCTTAATGAGGGAAAGAAATAAGGAGTTTATCTCCACAGAGTTTTGAGGATGTCTTACTCTGAGTATACACTACTTATCTGATCCCTGAGTGTCTTACTTCCTTTCACAGTCTGTGCTAATGTCTTACCCGTCTGTCACAAATGATTACTAGCTGCACTACCTCCTATAGTGTGCCCACATGTTCAGTGTGGGAGACACTTATGCCCACTCGAAAGATGAAAACCTGTGCTACTTTTGGTGGCAGGGGGAGAGTTTTTCTTGGGTCTTTGCTGAAAAAGTCTGCCGCTGCAATAATGCTTGTGGATTTGCTAGATGATTTTTGGAAAAAAAAAAAGTCAAATGATAAAGAAAATAAGGGACTATCCTGCCAGGTTCAAAAGACATTTATGTTATTATTTTACTGCATGATTTGTTATGTCTTGTTTAATTTTTGTGTTACTTTACTCAAAAAAAAAAGTCTAACACTGCATATACTTATGAGACAATTTTAGTAGGTTTTAATAAGAGCAGTTTGGTGGCTTTCAACAAATTCACTGACTTTGCAGCCAATTACATGTCTTTCAGTAGAGGTATCTGTGAACTTAGCTACAGGAGGGTGAAACGTGGATCAGTTAGCAGAAGTTTCAGGTGAAGTAATATTTTTACCTGAGCTATAAGCCTTAATAGCACATCCACAGCACAGGAGGAAGCAGCAGCTAGCATCCCAGCTCGCGTTCCAGAAAACACAGCTGGCTTAGATCAGGGAGCCTGCAGCTGTGTACAGAAACAAACCTCCTTAGTCAGAGGGGAGAGCAGTACACTCCTGCAGGCAGCTCACACATCTCCCCGAGAAGCTTTAATCAAGGACGGAAGATTGGAAGTGGATTGGTAGTAGTCACCACACACATACACAATTAAACCATTTTTTTTATAAGCACCTTCTGACATTAACTCTTGAGTACATAAATTTTTAACATAAATTTTCTCTCTTTCTTATGAAAAAAAACCTTTATCAGTACAAAAACAATTAAAAAAAAAGTGCCAGAGAGCTTACTATTTTTTATTAGCTTTTCCCTTTCTGGTGCTTCAGTCCTCATGCCCAGAGCCAGTCTGTGATTCAGACTGGCTGCCTATGGTCCTCTCTTTCATCTCTCCTGACTGGAAGGATGAGCCTATAACACGTAGGAGAGGGTCTTGGTTACGTGACTACCCTGATAACACAGAAAAGGGAGGGGTTACAGCCTCCCTCTCAGGGTGCTGGACTGAGGCTGCTTTTTTTTTCTTTAAACAAAGAAAGAAAATTATATATAAAGGCAAAATAAATGCACAAAGTTAGAGTAGAAGTTTTAGAAGAATTAGTAAATGAAAATTGAAGAATTTTTACGATTAATACGACTCCTATTAATAAACTCCCACTCCTCTGACGCAGTAGCAATTTTCCCCCACTTTAAATGATGTCAGGCGGCCCACCAAGGAATTAGCATAATAACATAAGAGCAGCCGTGCTGGATCTAAACTGATTTTTATTACCCTACTCTTCTGGCTCTGTCAGTGGCTGTTGCAGATGCTTACGGAAAAAGTATAAAACCAGGATAAGTGTCAAATAATAAAACCACCAAAAGTTCTCATAGCTTCCAGGCGCCCTCTTTTCACTGGGCAGAATTACCTTCTCCTAGAAAAACTAGAGGCATCGGTCGAAGCTCCCGCTCTGACCAGCCCTCAGCAGCAGGGCTTCCTCCTCGGCTAGCACAGCAGGTGCCTTCGCTCCCATAGGCTTTCGCTCTGTGAGCAGGCAGGCTCATCATCCCTAAAGCTTACACTTGCCCCCATTAACCACTTCTGCCCCTCTTACAGCGCCTGTTTTGTCCACCAAAACCCTGTGGTCAGCGTCTGTTGTATCTGGCAAACTGTGAGCAGCAGCTCAAAAACGTTGAAGACGTTATTGACAAGCGAATAACAAAAACAAACAAGGGCCGAGCTCGCGCGCTCCCAAACTCTGTCTAATGTTTTCCAGATGAGCATCTTTACAGCGAGGACGGTGCCGGGGTGAACGTAGGCCACGGCAGGCCGGAGGACGCCGACGTGCTGTTGGAGGTCGCCGGGGCGCGGGGCCCGCGGACCGAGGCACTGCTAGCGCCTGCTGCTCCCGCCCTGCCGCCGCGGAGAAACTCCCCCGCGCTGCTTGTCT